CATGAGGACAGGGAACAAGTAGGGCCCAGCAATCTGCATTTTAAGATTCTTCTGCTAAGTCCTCTATGCTAAAGTTTGAAACCCACGGACCTCGTTTCTCCCCCAGCTCAGCTGTGAGAGCAAACAGGCCCCACAGAGCCTGGGAGATGTGTTCCTGACCATGAATTAATTCCCCCATCCATATTCCATTCACGTGTATTTAATTAGCATTTGACTTTAAATTGACAAAGCACCTCCGCATGCTCTCTCATTTAATTTTCACATTTTACAAACTAAGAGACTCATGCTCAAAGTAGGTATTTCCCCAAAGGCACACAGCTGGTAAGTGGCAAGAAATACTTGAACCCCGGTGTTCTAATTTCAACTCTGAGTTTCTTAACACTGTCCAGAGCTGCCCCCTTTCACATTTGTGGGCATTCAGCAGTCTCATCTTACAACAATATTTATATGGAGAAATGTATTCTAAGTACAAATTGATTTGCAGAATTAAAAAAAAAATTCAGTCTATTCAGAAATTAAATCTAATCCATAAATAGAGTACTGTAAAGAGTTTTAGCTTGTCTGTATTTCAAGTGACAAAATGACATAAAAAGAGGTTAAAGGCTCTCCTTACTGGAAAAAAATTTTCTAATCAACATCGACAAGCTCAATATTCTATCCCTTCCTAATATTACCAATCCTTTCTTACTATCCCCAAGGGTTCTTTCAGAGTTTTAAAATTTCTTTCCAGAAGCTGAAGTTATTAGTAAATGTCCCTGTACCACATCAACAATCCATCGCTGAGACTGAGGTCAATGTTGTCTTTCTACAGGTAGTGTTCTGAGCATCTCGTCCCCTAGCTAGAAAGGCTCCCGTGACTTCCCTTTGCTGATACCATGGGACCCACACTCTGGCCTACCCCTGGTTAATTACTATGGCACATCCTTCATTCTGAATGAACTGTACAGCAATCCCCTAAAACACCAAGTACTTCCATGACTATTCCTTTGCTGCTGCCTAAAACCAAAAACAAAAACCCTACCTTTGTCCTTCAAAGTCAAAGAAATTCAAATGTGACTTTTTCTGCAGCTTTTCCTGACACCTCATCTATGAAACATTACAGTACCTAAATATCTAGTCATGTATACAACAGTTTCTTCTGCTAGAATGCAGGGGCCTTGAGGGTGAGCCTGTATTTAATTCATCTTTATGTCTAAATCTCTAACATGGTGCATAGCACCTCACTGGCACATATTGTTTACTGGTTGAATTACCAAATTGCCATTATCTGATCAGGGAATCATCCCAGACCTACTGACTCAGTCAAAAGCTACATTTTAACAAGACCCTCCAGGTGATTCATAAACACGTTTAGGGGCAGATAGTCTCAACACTGGTACCACATTGGGAGTCACCTGGAAGTTTTGAACATCACCATTTCTGCCTCTAAAGAGTTTGAGTTACTAGGTCTGGTAATGGCTTTTCTAAAGGCTCTCCAGGTGATTCTAATGCGCAATCAGGGTTGACAACACTGATCCAGGAAGAGATGTTAAGTCTGGATTCATAAACTTTATTCTCAGAGTTTCTAACTCAAGAGATTAGGGGCTTGGAAGTCTGTATTTTTAGAAGATTGGGCAATCTACTTTCATAGTGATACTGCCTCGGAAACCCAAGGAGGGGTTGCTCTGAGTCAGATCCAAATTGATGGCAGTGAGTTTGGTTTGGTTTGAAGTGTCTTGATACAGACCAAACTTTGAGAAGCACTGACCTTATGTCAGGAGGTCCAATGAGGAGAGCCTCATAACTCAGGTATGTGATAAAGAGACCTGGACAGTAGTGATGAAATGGGCTTTTTTTTGGGGGGGGGCGGGGGGAGGCTTTATTAGAGGAGAAAAAAAAAACCAAACTCACTGTTATCAAGTAGATTCTGACTCATAGTGACCCCCCTTGGGTTTCCAAGGCTGTAAATCTTTACAGAAGGAAGCAGATCGCCCCATCTTCCTTCCACAGAGCAGCTGGTAGATTTGAACTGCTGAACAAATTTGGCTGCTACCCAGAGCTCTTTTGATTAGTAAAAGGCAGATAAAAATTCAAAAGAGAATCTAAGGAGAAACTGACAAAACTTGATAGCTAAAAATAAGGATTAAAAAAAGAGAAAGAATTTAAGTTTAAAATAAAATCCTTTTTCACTTCCTCTGGTAAGAAAGTCACTCTTAAGAAGAAATATTCTTTATGTTTTTAATGACTATAAACTTATTCAGCTTTCCTAGGTCTCATTTTCACCAAGCGTAAAATGAAGGGCTTTCACTTAGTTATCTCTAGTCCTAGCACTTACTGACCATGAACAAACTAGCTGCTGTCCAGTGGATTCCGACTCATAGCAATCCCATGTGTGCCGGAGTACAGCTGTGCTCCACAGGTTGCCAATGGCTGATTTTCTGGAAGTCGATCACCAGGCTTTCTTCCCAAGTGCCTGTGGACTCCAACCTCCAACCTCTCAGTCAGCAGCTGAGCACATTAACCTTTGCGCCAAGCAGGGACCCCAATGACCTATAATAGATACTGCTATTACCACTAATACCTCAATCTTTACACTCTCCATTATTGCCTCCATGGTTACTTTCCATCTTCTCTTTGTTTGCCTGCTCCCCAAACTACAAAGCCTTAGTAGGTCGGGCCTTTTCATTTGTATTCCAGTTTGAATAGGGGAAAAAAAATAATTCTATTCTTAATAGAGAAGGAATGCCCTCAATTTATTAATAGAGATATTACATTTCAAAGTGAGAAGAAGGATTGCTTCTAAAAATCAGTTATGGCTGGATGAAAATTATTGGGCTTAGTAAAATCTGAACTCACAGTGGTCTACATGATGACGGCTTTAAAGTTGACTTTATTTGCCTTTCCCTTCACCCAAATCAATACTTGTCTCTACCTATCTAGCAGTATTGACTTTAGAGTCTTCTCCACATATCTGACATTGGTTGTTGTTGTTGTTAAGTGCCGTCAAGTCGTTTCCAACTCATAGCGACCCCATGCACAGCAGAACGAAACACTGCCCGATCCCACGCCAGCCCCACAATCCCTGCTATACTTGAGGCCATCATCGCAGCCACTGTGTCAATCCATCTCGTTGAAGGCCTCCCCCTTTTGTCGACCCTCCACCCTACCAAGCATGACATCCTTCTCCAGGGAATGGTCCCTTCTGACAACATGACCAAAACAGGCGAGACAAAGTCTGGCCATTCTTGCTTCCAAGGAGCATTCTGGCTGTACTTCCTCCAGGACAGATCTGTTAGTTCTTTTAGCAGTCCATGGTACTTTCAGCATTCTTTAGCATGGTGCAATGGTTAAGTGCTTGGATGCTAAATGAAAGGTTGGCAGTTCGAATCCACCCAAGGACTCCATGAGAGAAAGAGCTGGTGATCTGCTTCTATAAAGATTACCAAACAAAAAAACCAAACTTGCTGGTCAGTCAATTCAGACTGAAAGTGACCCTATAAATGTAAATCTTTATGGTAGTAGATTGTCACATCTTTCTCCTGCAGTGGGTTCAAACCGCAGACCTTTATGTTAGCAGCTGAGCACTTTAACCACTGGATCATTAGGGCTCCTTCTATAAAGCTGACAGCCAAGAAAACCCTACGGGGCAGTTCTACTCGGTACATGAGTTACTATGAGTTGGAATCAACCTGACAGCACACAACAACAATTACAATGTCTAACATCTGTTCATTATTTGAAGTTTACAAAGCACTTTTACATATTACATAAAAATTATTCAGGGATCCTTTTGAAGTAGTTGTGGCTCTGATTTTCTAATAAAGTCCAAAATCACAAGACTAAGACATGGCAAGGCCTGGAGGAGAACCTGGGTTCCACCACTCTGGCTGCTGCTGTTCCGATGAATCCAGGCTCAGGCATGAAAAGGTTAACTGGCACATTCAAGCAAAAGGATGCACTGAAAAATGCTTATAACAAAAAAATCAAGGAAAAAGCAGTTTGTTTTAAACTCATTATATGAGGCCTGAGGAACACAGAAATTATACATTACCATCCCCAAACAGAATGTTATGAAGCTTCTAAACCAAGAAACAGACAAAGTAAATTTTCACCCATTTTAAATATTTATGTGTATACACAGTAACTACGGTATCACAATTTTCTTAGTCATATAAATACTTAATACAACAATTACCCAACATAGGTGTTTTTAATGCAGTAAATTCTAAATTTCTTTAAAAATATTATCCTCACATAATATGAATACAAATATTATGAAATGCAACAATAACCTACATTAATAATTTCCATAAAGTAACTTTTCCTTTATTGAGAAAAAAATGCATTTTAATGTTTTAAAGACAAGTAGCTTGATCAAATTTACAACCAAAATAACAAATATATTAGCACATGAATTTGAAACCTCATTAAATGTTTCTGGGCAAGCACAGCAAAGCTACAAAACTCTAGGAAATCTCATGGAGAAAGTGTAGAAGCTGTATTTGTTCACTAGAGAAAAGAGAGCCACCCATACACAATGTACACTCAGGCCCATCACATTAAGTAAAAGATATTAACAAGCTCACTAACCAATAAATTATATCAAATTGCACACCACCCCTGGATATAAGTGTCTGTATTATTATTTAATTTATATGATTAAGAAAATTGATACAATTTTTACTATTTTACTGTTTTTACACCAATGCCGAATAACCAACCAACACAATCAAAACCAATCCAGAATTTAACAGCGTCCCAAAAATAAGTGTGCAAAGACAAAATGGAAATTGACAGGTTGAGCATAAGGATATAAAAATCAGAGTGATTCCCCAAGTAAGAAGTCATCAAAGTAGTGCTTTTGCTAACAAGAGCTATGGGCTCTCAGGAGCTATGAGTTCATCTTCCCATTAATGTTATCTTTGATAGCTGCCTTATGCTTTAGGTCTGAAATCTACAATTTGACAGATGTGATTAACAAAGCCAGGAGACCTTAACTTCAATCCCAGACTTCATCCAATGAACTCGCTAAAGATGCTGGCCATTCAACTGACCTACCTTAATTTTCTCACCTGTAAAATTCCAAGAGTTAACTTAAGTTCCAGATTTTTATGAAATTTCCATAGAGATCAAAGATTTAAAAAGAGTGAGAAATAAGGTACAATTTTAAAAAATCTAAAAGCAGTTGGAAACATTAGCACTGTGTTAGTTACATAAGTACTTTATGACTAGTATTAAAACCTGCTGAAAAAAGATTCTGTGGTTTGAACACTGCAGCAATGAGAGGCTGTTATTATTAAATCAGTGATTATTGTTAAAAATTAAGTAGGAAAATGCAGTGTTGAGCAGTAGCATTTTAGGCAAATTTTTATTGGTATAAAGATATGAATAAAGTCTCACTCCTCTCAATTATGATATCTCCTAAAATTAAAACTTTGTCAAGAATAGCATGTTTTCAAAATTTATTTGTCAAGTGATTTATAAACCATTTTAGAGTATCACTGGCACTACTGTACACTAGTAAATAAAATCACTTCCATCCTTCCTTAATGTGTGAACCCAGGTCTGTGGTGTGGCTTGGATGGCAGAATTGTTTAAACTTTCCAGGTGGCTCCAGTGAACAGCTAAGACTGAGCACCATCTGTCTAGTGCAAGTCTCATTTTATAGATGCATAAACTGAGGCTCAGAAAAACTAAGTGCTCTGTTCTGACATTCAAATAGTATGAAACAGGAGTAGAATTAGAAAACGGACACTCTCAGCCAGTGTTTTCAAAATGTGGGTCAAGATACTGCATCATGAAATCAACTTAGTGGTTTATAAAAAGCATTTAAAAAAATAACATAGAACATTACAGCGTACTGCACAATATAAGGGTAAGTATTAGAGCCCTGGTGGCATAAATGGTTAAGCACTCAGCTGCTAACTGGAAGGCTGATAGTTCGAACTCACTAAACAGCTCCTTAGAAGAGACCTAGTGGTTTACTTCCATAAAGATTACAGCCAAGAAAACTCTTTGGGACAGTTCTACTCGTCACATGGGGTCATGCTATGAATCAGAATCCACTCAATAGCACCTAACAATATCATCATTACATGAAACTTGTT